ATTTAATAAGAAGTATTCATCATTTAATATTCTATATTCTTCCAGTTAGTTGATGAAATGCCAGCTTGACTTATTTTATTAATCAACTTCTAGTTAAAGCCAGACATTACTCTCTGTGCTGCTTCGCTGGTTAGCTCGCTCCGCCACGGTTTCTGGCTTGGTTTCAGCCCGGCTTGGGTCTGGGCCCAAAAGCTTCGGCTTTTGGCTTTGTCAAGTTCGACCCTGGGGGCATGGCTCATAAATTTCCCGCTGCTATTGCAATATGAAATATATGCAACATAATTGAATTGCGTCTGTGTGGGAGGAGCATGTGCCCCTGTGTGTGTGGCGGTACTGTTAATTTTTAATTTATGCTCATAAATAATCAAGCCATTTTCATTAGAAGCACACACACACCCGAAGCTTGAGAAGAAAATGAAAAGAAAAACCGACAGACAAAAATGCAAGCTCATGCAAATTGTAAAGAAATGGGAAAGTATTTTATATTTCATAGTTTTAGAGATTTCTTCATGTCATATTATGTGTCCAACGAGCACTCTCCTGACTTTTTATATTCACTCTTCCATTATTTGGTTTTTTTTTTAAGCTTTTAGGATGCAACAAAATTGCAAATAAAAAAGCAGGAATATCTCTGACTGAACTACATCCTACATCAGTCTTTTATGTTGGAAAATGAAAGGAAACTAACTTGGGGAAGCCGAAGTTTATAAACCCTTTCCATATTTATCAATGTTTTAAATGACAATTTTATTGACAAATCAAAATTTAAAAAAGTACATAATTATGCAAAAAACGCATTAATTTTAATTCGAAAAACTGACATATGTTATTTTTTATTAGCTTAATAAATCTGCATACTCAATTTAAAATGTAAAAAATAATTTTTTTTTTAAATTTTGAAAATTTTAACAATGTTTCCATTTATAAAAATTTCAAAATTGTGAAAAAATTAAATTTTAACCGGACATAGCTAGATCAACTCGGCTTTTGATGCTGATCAAGAATATTTTTTTTATAGGGTCGGAAATTACTTCATCACAGCGTTACAAGCTTCTGACTAAAATAAGAGTACCCCGAAAGGGTATAAAAATATGTAGCACTAAGTTATTTGTACGCTTATGTTTTTTTTCACTTTTTTTTTTATACATTTTCAAGATAACAAAAAGAATTTCTGTTTTACCTCCGGCTCAGAAATATTTCTAGCCTCTTTATGCGCCAAAAATAGAAATAAGAAAATGCCTCAATTGTGGATAGATTTTTGGTTTCTTTCTTTCTTTAATTTTTTGTTTAATGTGTAGGTCTTTCGGGGTGTTAAATGCCGCGTAATCATTTTCGGAAGCTCGTAAAAGCGCAATGAGAACAAAAACAAGATAAAGGCGAGCAAAAAATCGTGATAAAATGAGAAAATCGAGCGGGGGTAGAGTGCGAAAGCTGTGCAAATATATATATAGTTAGCTACGTCAGCTGTGTGCTTTAATGCCACTGTGTGTGTGTGTGCGTGTGTATCTATGTGACATTCGAAGCAGCCAGCAGCTCCAAAAGAGAGAGAGAAAAAAAACAAGTGAAATAAGGCCAATGATGCTTGTAATTGTAGCCCCAGTTGGCTCCAACTGCTGGGTTTTTTCTTTTTTTTGGTATTTATTTTGTCAGCTAGCTGCTTGGCTCTGCTTTTGGCCATGGCGGCCAATTGCACTTTCAAGGCTGCATCAACTCCGGCTCGAACGCACACTCCAACTGCTCTCCATCCATCGCCCCCACATGCGCAAACAAGTCTTAAAAACTCATTAACGTTTTATGATGTGAAAAGAGAAGCCGCTGGCTAAGCGTTGGCCACTGTCACCACTGACAGTTTGCAAACACATAAAGAAATATTGCAATGATTTAAAAATCGAATTAAGATTTAACTACGTATTTATAATTATTGGAATATAATCAAGAAAGTCTAGGTAAGACATTATGGTGTGGAACCAAGTTTCGGTAAGCATTGGGAAGTAATAAATTACTGTTTTATATTAAAAATTTGTAAGAAACCATTACAAAGTCTATAGAACACACATTCCAAACGATCTTAAAATAATTCTTACTAATCCCAAAGAAACATTACTAAAAGTCTAGTCAAAATAATGTATAAAGATACACATGATCAAGTTCTCTCATAAAATGTTGTGTAGAAAAAGGCTGCGTAAATAATGAACAAAAAATCGAAGAACAATAAAATCAATTCCACATTTTATTAGATTTTAAATTGCTTACTTTATATAACCTTCATAATAATTGTTAAAATCTTTCCCAGTGCAATTACCCAGCAAACTTGTGTTGACTGCCCCGTTGCACACTTGCTGCACTCAATCAAGCCTGAAAACCCAAACGTGGCTAGGACATGAGGGGGTGGCGGCAGGGAGGCTGCTGCTTGGGGACCAAAAACCTCCGAGATGAGTTGTCTTCATTTTGCCATGAGTGGCAGCCAGGCGGCCGACAACTGCAACAGGCCACCCATAAAAGATGACAACGGGCAAGACCATCATTTGTGCTCCATAGCAAAACTTTTTTCTCTACGAGAGAAGCAGAAAAAGAAGGAATTTCAAAGTGACCTAATGGACACAGGCATACCCTAAAGGGGATTATGCCTCATGTCCAAAGAGGTTTTAACTAAAATTAAAGGACGTAAAAACGTTAGATGTGGTTCCCTTTGTTAGTAGAAATGTGCAAATGAGCTTGAAATACTATGAAGGCATTGCCATATTTCATTTGCATGGAACAAAATATATTAAAACTTATATTTTACTAAAAAGCATCCAAAGATTTAAGAACCAGTTTCCTAGAAACGATTTTAAATCAAAATTTTCACTAATTTCTTTAACCAAAAAAAAACTCCAGCCCAAAAAAAAACATTTCAATTAACAACTTTCTTACTTGGATTCATCTTTAACCCAAATACTAAGTTACCATGTTACCTATAAATAAATCTTAAACACCGGCATTCCATCAAAGATAAAGAAAAAACTCGATCATGAGCAGGAAACTGTGTTCTTTTTGTTTTTTTTTTTAAGAGACCACAAACATTTTGTCATCTCATCTCAACTTTATCGCTGCTTTCTTGCCACGAAAAGAACCAAACACAAAAAGCCACAGTGACATTGCTATAAAACCCCTCGGCAACATCCTAGACAATTACGAATAGAGTAAAACCCGCTTTACTACGGGGAAATCTTCACTTGCACCGCACACCGCACAGCATCGCACTTGCTCCTCTTCTGTTGCCTTTTTCCAGCTACATATAACTGTACCTGCAGGTGTGTGTGCTTGTGTGTGTGTGTCTCAGTTGTTGTAGTTTTAGTGTTTGCTCCGGGGAATTTACGGAGCGTTGATGGCTTTCTCCTCTAAGACTCAATTTTTATAGAGAGAAAGAGTTAGGGGTAAAGGAGGAATAACATTGCTACACTACTCCAAAGCTGGGATGATAACGCGAGGAGGGGGCAAGAGATGATCTCTCGCCCATTAAAAGTAGGTAGCAAAAAAAAGTTTTCGTTTATTGGTGGCATGGGCCAGTTTTATAGCTTCATTTGCACACACACACAACAAGCTGGCACTGCAGAGGCCGAGGTCAGGTCGGCATTAGGCTAGAAACAAGGTGCAGGTGGTAGTGGGGGGGGGGGGGAAGTGGGGGTAATAACTGGCCAAACAGTGGGTGTGGCAAGTGCAAGGCGATCGGTATTTCTCAAGCGGAACCGGTAGATGAAAACCTTCAGCATCTGCTTAAAAACTTTGAATTTAAAAACAAACCATGTTGGAAATCAAGGGATTTGGAAGTTATAATTACATTACTTTAAAGATATTTGCATATTTAGGAGATATTCCAAGAAATATTTCAAGGAACCACTTTCATAGGACATATTTTGTTTTAATTAAACAAGCACAAAGAAGATTATTTTACAATAAATCTTCATAGAATATAAAAATGTTCATAGAAATTAAATATACATTTTCCAAGAAGTATAGACCTACTTATTCTTATCTCTACGTAACTTTACTTCCTTTTTTTAAGCAAATTATAATTCTTTATCGGCCCATTGTCTTATCCATTAAGTACCTTGAGTCTGGGCTTCTGTTAACCGTGCTATCTAGTAATTATGTGGCACTCGCAAAGTGAGTAATGCCAACAAAACTCGAAAATTGTATATATATTTTTTTGTATAATCATTGAAAATTTAAGACACTGCCGGCCATACGCTTCTGAGAAATCTTTCCCACAATCAGTGCTTCCAAACGAAAGTCACGACCCAAGAGCAAGCATTATTTTTTCTCCCCGAGCCGATGGTCATCACTATCATCACAGTGCGGCCAATAAGTACGTGGCCCATTGTCATTAGCCGTGGGCATTAATTGCAGGTACACTTACTCACCCATGAATAGCACTCTGACCTTAATGCATTCAGTTACACAGGTTGATAAGAAAAGGAAAAAATAAAAGAAATGCATTTTGCAAATGCCCCATAGCAAACGAGGGTCGGAAAATGTGGAAGAAAATTACGGAAATTTGATAAAACCAAGTGGAAAGCTAGGAAGTTTCCACTTTAATTCAGCGTATTTCTTATCTGATGGGGATTTTTACCTTTAAGAAGAATTTTAAATTCTTATCAGTATTTCCTGGATTTCCTAGAAACTTATCAAACTGAATTTATTTGAGATTGTTTACTATTATTTTTATATTTAAATGGTTTTCAAATGGTTTTCCAAATCCATCAGTAAAAACTATGTCCCAAAACTCATTGTTTTACTAATAAATTAAAAAAAAAAAGAATTGCAGCAACAAAGAACAAGAATAAGATGAATCTTCCAATTTGAGATTCAACGGATATTTGCACGAACCGGTTTAATTGGCTCGACCTCCAATCAGAATCAAGTTCACGAACGCAACTGGAATTACTTGCGCCAGCTTAAGACCCCCAATAAGTGAGTGTACGAAAAGTGTGCATGGAAAACTCAAATGGAAAACATACCTTGTGGGGCGAAAGACCTTTTGGGAGCTGGAGTTGGCCGCTGCAGGAGATAAAGAGAAAACAACAAAATTTCATTCGCTGGAGATGAGCAGCAGCAGGATTAACGCGAGTGTGTGTGTGTGTGTATGCGGCGAATTAAAGTGACCAACAAAAACATTCACACATATACGGATGAACGCTAACTAACACACACAGCCGAGTACGCACGCAGGGAGCAAGAGCGAGAGAGGGCATATACGAAAATTGAACACGTTTACCGCGATTCCGGCAGGGGTTTGTGGGGTGTGCCGTGCCCGTGCCCCGAACCCGAACCCGTACCGCCCTAGAATGTGGGCGACCCGGTTTATTTACACGCCCGGATTTACTTATACTTATTATTATGGACCGCGCCTGCTGCACTTTCTTCTACAACCACAGCTCTCTGTTGCGTACGCGCGTGTCCCTCAGTGTGTGTGTGGGTTGGCGTATCAAGTGCACACGTATGCATCCGGGTGTATTTGTTTCTTTTCTTTTCTTATTTTTTCAACCGAAAACTCTTACGATTCTTATTGCCCGTTGACTCACAATTGCACTTGCACCAGCACTAAGTATTCGTTAATAAATAATTAAATCATCCGCGACGCGACATTCCTCGGCTGAAATATTTTTTTTTTGAGCTGACGTTTTGGCTTGGTTGTCACTTTGGTTTGGTGCTGGCAGCTTAGCCATTTTCGGGCTAGATCTAGCGTTTAGTATCGGACCTGCTGTTATTTAACATTTTACATCATACACGGCTAGACAACCATTTTACTTATACATGGGGTAAAACTCAATTTTTGGGGTAGAATTCTAGTACATAGGTTAGAATTCTCATGCAGGAGGTAAAAGTAAAATACATTAACGGACCTGCTTTCATGACAAGAATTCTCTTTTGTTGGCTGTCGTGTGATTGTAATTAACAGAATTCGATATTAGCAATATATCGATAATTTAAAGTGAAACTCTCAACTAGCTAATAGCTATAAATTATAAATGCAGCTAATATTTATCGAACTAAGTACATATAGGATTTATTTTATAAGAAATAGGGGTAAAGAATCGGAGCTTGTGAAATTCTTTTCGATTGTTACAAATTCCAAGCCAATTGCATATATTCTCACAATTGAAACAGTATGTGGCCGTTTTCTTAATGGGAAACTAAAAGCGCGCCAACACGAATTTCCTAACGCCATCAAACTTTCTGGTATTTTTGAATTTGGCGCTTATATGCACCAGTCTCAAATTAGCTCTTTCTCTCTCGTGACGTTGCCACATTGAGTGTTTGAAGCTGAGTTGAATAGTGCTACCAGATCACGCAACAATTGGAAACGCGAATTTATAAAATGCGCCTGAATTTAAAAGTTTGAATTTAATATTATTTGAATTTTGACGAAAATAATAAAATGTAATATTTACATCTAAAACAAACTTACAAGTAAATTGGTTCTATTCTATTTTGGTGATTGAAAAACTTATAAAGCTTAAATATGTTGCAAAGGCAAATATAATATTAAGTTATTTCTATCTAACAAGAAAGGTAGTTAACTGATTAAACATACTTACTGGTCATATAAACTTACTGGTCAAAGCTAATTACTGGTCATTGATACATACTTTTCAGAGTTATTTAGTGTTCAGAGTAATTAATGTTCATAGAAACTTACTGATCATAGTTAATTACTTATCATAGTTCTATAAATCGTCCGATTGTTCCCACGTCAGCTATATACTATATGTAAGTATATATATAATCCACCGATTTGGCATTCTCCGATTTATACTTGGAAAAATTGTATTGAAGATCAACTGCATAGTTTTATTTAAATAGCTTTCTCTTAAATTTGTACCAAAATAAATGTTGTACATCTGTGCATATGCTTCCCAACTGGTTCAAACATCCCCGGAACGAAGTGACTGCTGCCGGCCAAGTCTCAGAGAAGTGTTGTGTTACAAAAGTGCAAGTCATTGTTTATTAGTGTTCAAAGTTAGTAACTGGTCATACATACTTATTGGTCATACATACTTACTGGTCATAGACACTTACTGATCATAGAGACTTACTGATTATAGTTACCTTCTGGTCATAGATACTTATTGTTCAGACTTACTCACTGCTCATAGTTACATGCTGCTCATAGTTAATTAATGATCATAGTTACTCACTGATCATAGATACTTATTGTTCAGAGTTACTCACTGCTCATAGTTACTTGCTGCTCATAGTTTATTACTGATCATAGTTCTATAAATCGTCCAATTGTTCCTATTTGAGCTATATATATGTATATATATAGTCCACCGATTGGCGTGCTCCGATTTATAAACTTGGAAAAGTATATAGAAGATCAACTGGATAGTTTCAATCCAATAACTTGCTCTTAAATTTGTTCCAAAACAAGTCTCGCACACTTGTGCATATGATTCCCAACTGGTTCAAACATCCCCGGAACGAAGTGACTGCTGCCGGCCAAGTCTCAGAGAAGTGTTGTGTTACAAAAGTGCAAGTCATTGTTTATTAGTGTTCAAAGTTAGTAACTGGTCATACATACTTATTGGTCATACATACTTACTGGTCATAGACACTTACTGATCATAGAGACTTACTGATTATAGTTACCTTCTGGTCATAGATACTTATTGTTCAGACTTACTCACTGCTCATAGTTACATGCTGCTCATAGTTAATTAATGATCATAGTTACTCACTGATCATAGATACTTATTGTTCAGAGTTACTCACTGCTCATAGTTACTTGCTGCTCATAGTTAATTACTGATCATAGTTCTATAAATCGTCCAATTGTTCCTATTTCAGCTATATATATGTATATATATAGTCCACCGATTGGCGTGCTCCGATTTATAAACTTGTAAAAGTATATAGAAGATCAACTGGATAGTTTAATTTTAATAACTTGCTCTTAAATTTGTTCCAAAATAAATGTCGTACATCTGTGCATATGATTCCCAACAGGTTTTAACATCCCCGGAACAAAGTGACTGCTGCCAGCCAAGTCTCAGAGAAGTGTTGCGTTACAAAAGTTGCAAGTCATTGTTTATTAGTGTTCGAAGTTAGTAACTGGTCATACATACTAATTGGTCATACATACTTACTGGTCATAGACACTTACTGATCATAGATACTTACTGATCATAGTTATTTACAGGTCATAGATACTTATTGTTCAGACTTACTCACTGCTCATAGTTACATGCTGCTCATAGTTAATTAATGATCATAGTTACTCACTGGTCATGGATACTTATTGTTCAGAGTTACTCACTGCTCATAGTTACTTGCTGCTCATAGTTAATTACTGATCATAGTTCTATAAATCGTCCAATTGTTCATATTTCAGCTATTTATATGTATATATATAGTCCACCGATTGGCGTGCTCCGATTTATAAACTTGTAAAAGTATATAGAAGATCAACTGGATAGTTTCATTCCAATAACTTGCTCTTAAATTTGTTCTAAAACAAGTCTCGCACACTTGTGCATATGATTCCCAACAGGTTCAAACATCCCCGGAACGAAGTGACTGCTGCCGGCCAAGTCTCAGAGAAGTGTTGTTACAAAAGTTGCAAGTCATTGTTTATTAGTGTTCAAAGTTAGTAACTGGTCATACATACTTATTGGTCATACATACTTACTGGTCATAGACACTTACTGATCATAGAGACTTACTGATTATAGTTACCTTCTGGTCAGAGATACTTATTGTTCAGACTTACTCACTGCTCATAGTTACATGCTGCTCATAGTTAATTAATGATCATAGTAACTCACTGGCCATAGATACTTATTGTTCAGACTTACTCAGTGCTCATAGTTACATGCTGCTCATAGTTAATTAATGATCATAGTTACTCACTGGTCATGGATACTTATTGTTCAGAGTTACTCACTGCTCATAGTTACTTGCTGCTCATAGTAAATTACTGATCATAGTTTTATAAATCGTCCGATTGTTCCTATGTCAGCTATATATATGTATATATATAGTCCACCGATTGTCGTGCTCCGATTTATAAGCTCGTAAAAATATATAGAAGATCAACTGGATGGTTTAATTTTAATAACTTGCTCTTAAATTTGTTCCAAAATAAAACTCGTACATCTGTGCATATGATTCCCAACAGGTTTTAACATCCCCGGAACAAAGTGACTGCTGCCAGCCAAGTCTCAGAGAAGTGTTGTGTTACAAAAGTTGCAAGTCATTGTTTATTAGTGTTCGAAGTTAGTAACTGGTCATACATACTAATTGGTCATACATACTTACTGGTCATAGACACTTACTGATCATAGATACTTACTGATCATAGTTATTTACAGGTCATAGATACTTATTGTTCAGACTTACTCACTGCTCATAGTTACATGCTGCTCATAGTTAATTAATGATCATAGTTACTCACTGGTCATGGATACTTATTGTTCAGAGTTACTCACTGCTCATAGTTACTTGCTGCTCATAGTTAATTACTGATCATAGTTCTATAAATCGTCCAATTGTTCCTATTTCAGCTATATATATGTATATATATAGTCCACCGATTGGCGTGCTCCGATTTATAAACTTGTAAAAGGATAGTTTCATTCCAATAACTTGCTCTTAAATTTGTTCTAAAACAAGTCTCGCACACTTGTGCATATGATTCCCAACTGGTTCAAACATCCCCGGAACGAAGTGACTGCTGCCGGCCAAGTCTCAGAGAAGTGTTGTGTTACAAAAGTTGCAAGTCATTGTTTATTAGTGTTCAAAGTTAGTAACTGGTCATACATACTTATTGGTCATACATACTTACTGGTCATAGACACTTACTGATCATAGATACTTACTGATTATAGTTACCTTCTGGTCAGAGATACTTATTGTTCAGACTTACTCACTGCTCATAGTTACATGCTGCTCATAGTTAATTAATGATCATAGTTACTCACTGATCATAGATACTTATTGTTCAGAGTTACTCACTGCTCATAGTTACTTGCTGCTCATAGTTAATTACTGATCATAGTTCTATAAATCGTCCGATTGTTCCTATGTCAGCTATATATATGTTTATACATAGTCCACCGATTTAGTATGCTCCGATTTATAAGCTCGTAAAAATATATAGAAGATTAACTGGATGGTTTCATTTTAATAACTTGCTCTTAAATTTGTTCCAAAATAAATCTCGTACATCTGTGCATATGATTCCCAACAGGTTCTAACATCCCCGGAACGAAGTGACTGCTGCCGGCCAAGTCTCAGAAATGTGTTGTGTTACAAAAGTTGCAAGTCATTGTTTATTAGTGTTCAAAGTTAGTAACTGGTCATACATACTTACTGGTCATAGGTACTTACTGATTATAGTTACTTACTGGTTGTAGATACTTATTCCTCAGAGTTACTCATGGCTCATAGTTACTTGCTGCTCATAGTTAATTAATGATCATAGTAACTCACTGGTCATAGATACTTATTGTTCAGAGTTACTCACTGCTCATAGTTACTTGCTGCTCATAGTTAATTACTGATCGTAGCTCTATAAATCGTCCGATTGTTCCTATGTCAGCTATATATATGTTTATATATAGTCCACTGATTTGGCGTGGTCCGATTTATAAACTTGTGAAAGTATATAG